AAGAGGAGCTCTGCCTTCAGCACGGCAAGCAGCCACAGCGCTTCCCAAGCCTGCTGCGAGCCGGACGGCACAGCACGTCGGGCAAAGCAGATCTCCTGCAACTGCTTTTGAAGCTGTTCCATTTTTCAGCTGGTGCCTCTAGAAAAATGATGCTTTAAACTACGGAGAATAACATCGCAGTTATGCATTTATTTGGAAGGACAAGCCTGCAGTCTAAATAAACCCTCATTGCTAAGATGACTTTTATTAATATGTTTAATGGAAACCTTCCTTTTTTGGCCATTTTTTTTAGCTTAGAATTCTTCATCCAATTCAGTATTTTTCTGCAATGGTAAAAACTTTTACTGTATTGCTGGACTCTGAAAGTCAGATGCACATTAGCAGAAAAGGCCAGTGCAGAGGGGAGATATTACCCAATATGGAATTAAAAATGAAAACTGCTTACAATCTCAGTGCAGTAACGACTAGAAAAATCTTGCCTTAAAAACACTCAGACACCATTTTCTTCCCCCCAAGCTTCAAATCCCCTGCCACAGGTGACCCTCACAAGGGCTGTACGAAGCTTCCCCTCGCTGTATTTTATGGTAAGCATTTGCTCAGCAGCCACAGTGGCCGCTCCAGACTGCGCTGGGAGAATATAAATCTAAAAGGGTGCCAGGGAATCTCAATCCTTTCCCTGTGGAGATGTACTTTTATGCCCAGAGACATGCATGGTCTGTTCAAAGTTCCCCGGAGCGATCGCAGCCCTGGGAGCGCCTCCTCCGTGTTCGCAGCTTCGCATCAGACTGAGCCACCACCTACTGCCACTTGCCGCCGTCCCACCCGCCTTGGCCTGCAAGCCCAGCTGGAAATACTCACCAATCTGCAGTGAAAGGGTTTCTGATCTTGACCACCCGACTGACTCACAACCACCCGGGGACATGTCATGCCCAGTCTTTCAGAGCTGCCACCACCGGCTCCTACAGCTAGCAGCAGATTTACTTACCTTGGTGGTTCAGCACAGCTTTGCTGAGGAGGGATGGAGGTGATGAAGAGGAGATAACCCGCCCTTCCTCACCCCCTCAGGTGGACACGTGTGCCCAGCGAGGCCGGCAGGGGCCCGCCGAGGTCTCTCAGTGCTGCACCAAGCAGGTCACCACGCCACGCGGCATCGCAGCGCCGCCCCGGCAGTTGGCAGACTTGGAGAAGCCCAGAGGAGCAGCACGGCGAAGGAGGAACAGACCACCCTGGCGGGCAGAACCTTCCCCCCACCTCTAGCTGAGGCTGCGCCCTGGCCCGGCAGGGCCACCTCCCCGACACCCAGCGCCTCGGCTTTGTACTTCTTCACGAAGTCTTCCATCAGCTTCAGCTCTGCCTCCGCAAGGCCGCGGCACTGGGACGGGTCCTTTGGGATCAGCTCCATGTACTGCATGGCCTGGGATGGAGAGAGCACCGACAGTCACGCCGAGGCGCCGGCGGGGGAGCACGAGCTCCCTTTGCGCAGGGGCTTTGCAAACAGACGCTCCGCTCGCCTGACGGAGCCCGCGCCGAAAACGTGCCCTTGCCCCCAGAGTTGTTCCGACCCACGCTTCAGAAATAAAAGGCTGAACTTACTCAGGTTTGAGTAGCAGCCGGGCTGCTGTTATTTACTTCAGGCTGGGTGGTTTTTTGAGGATTATTTTGGGTTTTTTTTTGTTTTAAAAAGACTCCCCAGGAAAGCCAGGCAGCAAAGACTCGCTTTGCTAGCTCGCACCCAGATCCCAGCACACCCTCCCTCACCGGCACTAGCATGCTGCTCTTCATAGAATCATAGAATCGCTTTGGTTGGAAAAGCCCTTTAAGATCATCGAGTCCAACCGTTAACCTAACCCTGCCATCCCACCACTAAACCATATCCCTAAGCACCTCATCTATCCTTCTTTTAAATACCTCCAAGGATGGGGACTCTACCACCTCCCTGGGCAGCCCATTCCAGAGCTTCCAGGTAATTTGACAACAAGGCTGCTGAAAGGACCAGAAACCCATAAACGTCCAAACCTGGGGCCAGCCAGCTCCTCGTGCCAGGATGGGGAGAGCTCTGGGGAGCGGCTCGGAGGCTGCACCAAGAGCACCCCATACCCCTCATGGGCTGCATGCGGCATAATTTACGGTAAAAGATCCCCTTTTGTCAATTAAAAAAATAATCTTAATACCAGAAAAAGTAGTCTGCTAGCCGCTGAGCCTGCCTGTAACACTGACAGCCACCAACTCCACCCCAGTACTGATCCTGCAGCAAAGGGAAGGCGTTTGGTCACTGGCGCCCTACAGCATGGGAGGCGAATGCCAAGAAGCCATCCAAAATAAAGTCTCCTACCCAGCTGGCCACTAGCCACTATCTGAAAGCAGAGTAAGCCTGATGTAGCGAGAGGCCCGTCCCACGCCGAGTTAGCCCTAGCGGGACGGCGGGGTCCGCACGGTTAACTTCTCCTGGCCCGGTGCTAAGGGGAAGGGAGTTTCCCGCTCCGGGCATTTTTCCTATTGTAGTGTGAGGAGCTAAGGGGCAGCCAGTTGGCTCTCTGCCATCCCGCTTTGAAGACCAGCATCCAGCTGCATTAGATTTGTTTCTTACTTGGTCAGCACTTGAAAACTGAATTTTTTTAAAAAAAAGTAGAGAAGCAATTAACTGTTTACCCTACATAGCCTGGTTCAGTACGGCCCTTTAAATACAGAAGCCTTTGCACAACCCCCCAACAACTCCTCACACCCGTAAAAACTTCAGAGCCTGCTTCCACCTCGGCTACCTTCAGCCGGACAGCAGCGCCGCAGGGCACGATTCCGGCCTGAGGATTCGCAACAGCAATAGATAAATGATTTCGTGGAGGCAGGGCTTCTTCCCCGTTTCTTGAAGCGCACGTCAAGGTCATGGCACATTGCATTGGACGTCACCACTCAGGGTATCGTGCCTCCGTGCGAAGGGTAGGGCTGATACCCAGCAGTTTACTGGGGGAGGGCTGTCTCCCCGTGGGAGAAGGTGCCGCCTGCGCACAGCCGGCCAGAGCGCTGCAGGATGCTGCGGAAGTGATCTGGTGCGCAGACGGCTTTCACAGAAGTGGGAAATCCTCGTCGGAACTACAGCAGCAAGAGACAAGAGCTCCCTCAGCGCCCCTCCCGGGCCGCACGCAGCCTCTGCCCCGCAGAGTAGGGGTCCTGCCAGCGGTGTCGGACCACCGGGGAGAGCAGCAAGCAAAGCCTCGGTGCTGTAGGGCCACGGACATGAAGGCAGCGTGTGCTATGGGCTCTGCGCCGGCTTGGCTCAGCCGCAAGAGCGCCGGCAGAGCGGTACCACGGTAGGATCCTAAGGGAAGAAATTCCTGACCCACCACAGACGTGCCAAGGCCCATGAGCTGGAATAGCACCGCGCCAGCACGCGCGTCCTGTCCCGCTCTGGCGCCAGGCTCTCCGTTGCCCACACAACACCCGTGCCGAAAGCGAGGGAGGAGCAAAGCCTCAGCCTTCCCTGAAAGCACAGCCAGGCTGCTCGGTGTCTGCCCGGGCACGTCGTAGGAATTCACTCCCCAATCAAGGGATTGCTCAGGGTTATAATTGCAGATGTCATAAAATGTGTCCAGACAATGGACCAGGGAAAAAAAAAATCCAACCAGCCACCAAAAACCAATGTGAATGATAATAAAAACTTGTTTCTGCTGCTGCTACCATGTATTACGGTCAAATGCTTTACTATGTCACCTTAGCACAGATGACTGAGGGAGAGCATTTTAGGTTTTCACTGTTTACTGGATTTTGGAAATACTTCACGATCCCTTCTTTGCACTTTCCCCAAGGACCCTGCAGCTCTGCTTCGAAACTTCCCCAGCCACGGCTCAACGACAACACGCCCTGAGCTTCCTCCTGGTATTGGGCTGCAGGACACCACCATCAAAAGCCACCCCAAATTTCCAGCCCGCCTGCAGCGGGAGTTGTGCACTAAAAGCCTTTTGGCCCAAACCCCTGCAAACTATCCCGAGAACGGCTGACATCCAGCATTTCTCCTAAGAGTTTGTCAAGTTGATCTTCGAGGCAGAATTTATCGAGGTTGGTTCAAGTAAACACCGCGCAGGAGCCTTGAGCCAAGGTACCCGCCAGCCTGCTTGGGCGCCACGAAGAGTCCGAGAGCTTTGGTGAAGCCTGAGCTGCCCCCGTGCTGCGGGGACCGTTTGCTGCTGCGGGTCGGGGAGCTGCCAGGCTCCTCGGTGCATTTGGGATCGCCCCAACAGGCACTCGCCGGGGGTACGGGGGGGGGTTCAGCCCCACGGCAGCAGCCAGCAGCCCAGGGGCCATGGAGTTTGGGCGCCCTTCGCAGCAAGGAGCCCACCCTGCCCCGAGGCACCGGCAGCACCGCGCTGCAGCCGGCTCGCGGGGTGGCAAACCCCGGGTTTCCGCTCGGTGCCGGGCTGGGCAGCGTGCGTGATGAATGAGGCCGGGCGGGACGAGCGCCAGCATTGTTCTCCCCATCCCTCACCAGCTCCCTGATTGCCCCTGGGACCTGCGGAAGGCAAACAGTGGTTAAACAAACATTCCTGCCAGGCCAGCTCCTACTGAGGAAGAGGAGGGAGAGCAGCGGGCTAGGACTGCAAAGCCGGGCAGTTGGATGCCTGGGGGGCTCGGTCCCTCATTAAAGCCCAGAGGTTCTGCTCCAATTAGCACCACAGGCCCCAGCTGCACTCCCAGTGGGGACCACATGCCACCCCCAGTCAGCCTTTCCAAGGGGGTGATGGCAACAGAGTCTGAAGAAGTAATCAGTCTGCCTCTCGGGTCCACAGCTGCAATTTCACATTTGTTTCCCCCATTCTTTAAAAAAATCTGGTTGCAATTTTCAGCAGCTTTAAACTATTTGTTTAATTTGAAGAGCAAAAGCTGTCCACTAATGACAGTGTAATAAGCAGTGTTTTTAGTACCACAACGTAGTTAAAAGCCAGTTAAATGCTTTCCCTCAAGAAGTGCTCTGCTGGCTAATGCTTCCCCATGCCAGAACCACTTCCACGCGCTCCCACATGGCAATATTGCCCGCCCGGATGGAAGCTGGGCGCGGGAGGGATGGAGGGGCTGGGGGCTGTTGTCAGATCCAGCCCTCGGCACAGGACCACGCTCCCCACCTCCCCTTTTTACCCTGACTTCTCTTTACAAAACCTAAAGAAATATTTTTATTTGGACCAGACTATGTTTAGCTGGAAGGAAGAAAATCCCAGTGCCAGTGCTGAATCTGGGAGGGGTTCCTCTGGCAGCAGCGAGGGGGAGAGATGGCTTAGCTCTCCCCCAGGCCAGCACGCCTCGGCACCATGGGCGCTCCGGCTCCTGTCCCCTGGGCGAGCCAGGGACAGGGATGGGGGCTGCTGCCTCCCGCAGGGGCGGGGGGAGGGTGCCAGGGCACAGGGCTCCGAGCCCGCTGCTGGAGGATGTTTTCCAGCAGGCGACGGGGACCCCAAGGCACAACCCCCTGACTGCCCCCCCAGCATTACGCTGCCCATCACAAATAGGATTTAACCCCCTTCCCCCGCTTGCCCAGCAAATCTGAGATGAAAGTAAGGAAAACAGCATTACAGAGAGGTTAAGCCACGAAGCAAGCGGTGCCAGCACGCTGCTGCGGCTCCGACGCGGGACTCTTACGGACACCGTGATGCAGCACTCAACAGGAGCAAGGCTGCGTTCCGGGGAGGTTTAGGGCCGTTCTGTGGTTCACAGAGGCAAAAGTGAGCACTAATTGCGCTCCTGGTTAATAGACCCGAAATGCCAGGCCTATTTTAAGTCCAAGATTTTAACAACTACCTCAGCAAGCAAAGAAAATAATTACTGTTTTACAGACAATGGTTATTTTGCCGTCATCATTAAAGCCCATCTCTAATAGAATAATTTATAAACACAGCACTGGGTTTAGATGCAGCATTACTTCTTTCCACACTGATTTAATTTCTCTGCTTTTGAGACAGACTGAAGCAGAACTTCCTGCCGGGTTTGCTGAAAACCCCCACTTTTCAGCTAGCGGCAGCGCCCCAGCTAGCTGCCTCCACCTGGGTCTGGGGCAGATTTGCAAGAGATGGGACTCAGCAAGCAAGGCAGGGCCTCCCTCTCCAACAGGGATGCCAAGGCCCAGGGCAGCTCCTCCTGCCCAAAACCACCACCCAAACAGCTCGTCTCCTCTGCTTCTCCCAGAAGCCCGGTCCAGACCCACGCTGTTGCAGCAGCGGGGAGATGGGGCTCTGGGGTTAACTCGCTGTCCTCGGGCACGTCCCACGGCTTGCACAGCTTTCTGGTGCCCTCCCGGGGTGTTTAGGGAGAGGATCAAACCCCAGCCCTGGCAAAAAAGCAGGAATTGCTCCCGCGCCCAGCCCAGGGCTTTGCAGCGTGCAAGCGCCTGCGTGGGCTGCACAGGCACCGTACAGCTGGCAGGAGCGCGGCGACGGGCTCTCTCCTCAGCAATGTTTTTATTGGACATGAGCTTTACCAAAGTAGCGAGCTTTCTAGTTGTAAAACCCATTAAGACTTCTCCTAGAAACGTAAGCAAACCTATAAAAACCCAAGGCAATCCATTCCCCTCTCCTACCTACTATGGCTATTTACGCAGTTTTCCAAAATACAAAGCGCTACGCACATTTTCGCTCCGCGAGGCAAGCCGTATGTTCCACTATTTCCCCCCTCCCGCCCCCAATAACTTCATTCCAGAGCCGAGTTACGCTCTCCATTAAGCGACACAGCCACCAGCCAAACGCGCCGTGGATCGCCTTACCAGCTTCTGGGTGAGCCCCGGGGGAGCCCACTCGTACGTGATGGTGTCGAAGGTGGGGTCCTTCCGAGAGACGATGGGGTTGGTGATGATCATGCGGTTCCTTTTGTAAATGCGAACGCCGTCACCTCCCTTCACCCGGGCGGTGAGCGTGGCGTACTTGGAGTCTGACAGCAGGCGCCCAATTTTCCGATCGTCCTCCACGTCCGAGCTCAGGCTGTGATCCTCCTGGCTGCATTTGCACGATTTGCAGATTTTCCTGTGGGTGACAAGCGAGATCATCCTTTCGACGCCAGCTGGGCCATGGGAGGCGCGTCACCGCGCGGCGGCTGAGCCACCGAGCATCAGCCTCTTTCAAAGGTTAAGCACAGACCAAGGGTTAGGGCGCAAGAGAAAAGGCTCCCGTGGCCCGAGCCGCACACGGGAATTCAGCACGATTCGTCCCAGAGGGGTTGCAGAGCGGAAAGCTGCAACCCCCAAAGTGCTGTCCCCAGGCAAAAGCAGCCGCAGCAGCCACAGGGAGCCCCCCAAAACCCCTTCAGCATCACTGCATCTCCTGCCCTCACCAGCCTCACCTCTGACGGAGCTTTACAGGCCATTAAAGAAGTGACTGCTAAAAAGAGGAGGAATTGATGCTCAAGTCCCTATCGTTTCAACTCTAACAGCTACAAGTCCTAAGGTCACTCCGGAAGGCCACACGCTGCTGGCCAGCTTTTGCCGTCAAATGCTAACAGCAAAAGGACAAACTAACTCTGACGCAACAAAAAAAAACCTGGAACAAGCACGACTCAAACCAGCCTTTAATAGAGTCAAAAAAACCCTAAACTAGTGATTCAACCAAACGAGTGTTTTAAAGTTTGGGTTTCCACACTGCTGAGGTGTTGGAATTGGGACCCGAAGGCTACCGGACGCGACGGCACGCCCCCACGGTGAGGCCCGCTGAAGCATTTCGGCAGCCGGCTCCGGCGCACCACCGCGGCACGACCCAGCTGCACAGCCCGCAGCAAGCGGGAGCTCTCCAGGCTCACAGAAAAAAGAGCCCAGTGTTTTGCAAGACAGCCTCAGAGGGCATTAATTCTCTTTTAATTAATGACATCTGGAGAGCTCCCTTCCATTTCAAAGGCCCCTTTGTTTCTCCCTTTTCGGTGTGCGAGCAGACAGGGCAGAGCAGCAGCAGGAGCCGAACACACAGCACTGGCCAGGTCCCACCAGCTACTGACATCGGTGGCTATTGCCTAAATTAGTGTTTTTAAGAGGAAAACCCAAAAATAAAGTATCAAACACCAAGACGTTTCGGCACCAAGCACAGCATTTCAGCCCTCGGGGTGCTCAGGACAGCCGGCAGCGCCCACGCTCACCCTCAAGGACGAGGTGACAGCCAGGTGCTCGGCACAACCCCTACCGACAGCGCGGGATTATCCTTCTGGTCAGCACCTCCCTGCCTCCAAAGCAAGCAGGGACGTGTTTGTTTTCACTACCTCACTTCCAGACAAGCGGACGGGCTGGGCGGCCAGCGAGCGGCAGGCAGAGGACGCGGGCTCCGGCACGCACGCTGCGCAGGGCACCGGGAAAAAAACCCGGGGCGGGCGAGACCCTTCTGCAGGCTGGGGCACCCCTCACCCCAGCTTCTCCTCTTCCCGAGCCGCAGCTCGCTGCCAAGACCTGCGCCCAGCCTAGCAGAGGGAGCCTCGGCTCCCAGGGAGCAGGCAACGTTAGCAAAAGCAGAAAACCACCCCACTGCATGAGAGCCTCAGCTTGGTTTAAGCCTCTTGTGGATGAGATTTAAACTCCAAAAATAAAAGAGCAGGACCAGCGAGGGAAGGGGATGGAGAGCAGGGAGCACGAGCACCAACTCAGCTCCGCAGCTGCCCCCCGCACCTCCCACCAGCACTCAAGTGCTCTGAAGTTCTTCTTTGCACTTAAAGTCACCAGAATCTGCGAATCAGCAGGACCAAAGGGACAGCGTCAGGGCAGGGCCCATCGAGGGCAAGACGTTACCTCCAAGAATGTGGCTCGAAGCCCGTGCACGTCCCTCTGCAGCGTAAACAAGGCACACCTCTTCCCGACTGCGGCTGGCTCACCGACATCTGGAAAAGAACAGGACACCACAGTTGGAAAGGCTTTATCCTCGACGATCATCCGAGCCTGGAGGACTAACACTGAGTTTTGCCCTTCAGACGCCGATTTCTTCAGCCACATGAAGAGGCTTTGTGTCCCATGAAGCCTCAAACCTCGCAAGCGCCATTTGACCGCTGTCCGTGCGGACCTGCTGCAAGTTTAGGCAGGGAAGCTTGGGATGAAGGTTTTCCCCTTAAAGTGAGCGAAGATGGAGCGTCTGGAACAGCGTGGGGGAGACGGCGCATCCACCAGTGACCACACACACGCCTGGGCAGCCACCTTAACCTCACGCAGAGGCCTCATTAAAAGGTTAATTTGATTCACCCTATATATTGCACATGGACCTGCGCAAGGCCAGCCTCACGCAGCGAGACACGGGGGTTCGTCGCCATGACCTGGTGCTAAGCTTGCTTTGCTGCAGCTTGGACCTCCTCGGTCCTTCTACAGGGGCTCAAGTGTATTTGGGGAATGCGGCACATTTCCACACCTCTGGCGCTGGGTTTTAGGGGTGCCCAGGAAAGAGGGCAGGGAAAGGCTCTGGGGGGGAAAGGCAGAGCGGAGGGAGAGGGCTGCGCCTTCTGCTGCTCGCAGAAAACAGAAGGCAGGCACTTGTATACATGGGCGCTCGCTGCTGCGGCGACGGTCCTACCAACCTCCCACCAGGAGAGAGACGAGAGCAAAACACCCCAACAGGAGCCAGTAACTTTGACAATAAACCTGTTTCAGTGTCTGCGCCATGGATTCATCAAGCGTGGCTTTTTGAAGGTGAAGAGTGCAGGGGGGTACGATGGGAGACAAAACCTGCAGGAAGCACCGGGGAGCAGCGACACCGCGGGACGCTGGATTTATCTCAGCCTGGTTTCCTTTTTACAGAAACACACAGGCTCCTGTCCCAGAGCCTTTTGTTCCCTGCAAAAACAGACCTAAGGAGACCAGGGAGAGTGGCACCCCCAGGACACGCACCCCCGGCAGAAGCGAGGGCAGCACCACAGCCGCTTCGCCCCACCTCGGCAGCGCTGACCCCGTGCGGGCCGGAGATTAAACGAGAGGGTGGTCATCCACCACTGCAAAGCCCTAATTTTGGGCTTTCGGGCCTCCAGAACCATTACAGCGTCAGCCTCTCGCTATTTTCTGACCACTCTGGACCTTGCAGCCTGCACTGTGTGTTAGGGCTTAGAACGTACGGGTCTCGCACCCCCATGCCCTTCTGGTGCTTGCTCCCTTTCACCAAGTTGTTGTAGAAGGTGATTAATCCCTCCCAAAATGCAGCCCGGCTCTAGGCACTGACTGCTCGTTTGGGCACAGCCGTTCAGAGCCCACCAGAACAGTTATGGCTGTGGGGGTTTCCCGCGCCGGAGGAGGGTGGTGCCCGCCTGCGCAGCCTTAACCTGGCCCACGCGTTCTCCCGCGTTCCGAGGGCATTCCCAGCTCATGGGCTATTACACCCATGCTGCCAGCCCCCTCCCCACGCAGCAGCTCGCTCCCCGCACGCTGCTCCCCACATCCACGCGGGGACGGGCAGGGGCCACCCTTGCCAGCACCCATTTTCAGATGGAGGGACAGCAGCGGTAAAATAACAGCGGCTGCTCTTAAAGCGTGGGTTTGGGAGGCCGTGCTCAGCTCAGCCATGCTGGTATAAAATAGAGTTCCCCTTGGGGAGGCTCTGCAGGGACCCTGCACGGGCGGCCGGGCACCGCGGGCTGCGGCTTGGCTGGTGACCGGCCCCGAGCACTGCAGCTCCGCTTGGATGCGGCCGCCCCTTCCTCCTGCTCCCTCCCAGACCCACCCAGCCCCGCTTCCAGCGCCAGCTCCCGGGCTCCCCAAAGCTCCCGCAGGGACCTGGCGCGCCCCGAGGTCCCCTCCAACATTCAAACTCCCACCCTGCAGATTTCAAGAAGGAAAGGTTATTGGATGGCACTCAGGAAAGACATGTAATTTACTCTGAACACCTAATGAGGACGAAGCTTTTACGAACAGATGGTTCTAGAAACAGCCGGACACTGGTTTCCCAATTTTAAGGCAGGCTACAAGCCTTGGTGTGCTTTTCTGTGCAGAATGATTTAAGCCCCCAGAGAAGGCTGCTCATCCTTGAGAAAAGGGCACAAAATGGCCCATTTCAGCTCACTTTGCCCAACGAACGGCTGTTTATTTGTGCCTCGGCTTTCACCTGGAGCTCTCGCTTCATTTTTCAC